AAACACTGGAATGCGTTACCTAGGGAGGTGGTGGAGTCTCCTTCCTTGGAGGTTTTCAAGGCCCGGCTTGACAAAGCCCTGGCTGGGATGATTTAGCTGGGAATTGGTCCTGCTTTGAGCAGGGGGTTGGACTAGATGACCTCTTGAGGTCCCTTCCAACTCTGATATTCTATGATTATTTTAAGCATTACAAATCGCAGTACGCCTCTTTTTAACTTCCATGTCCTTGTGACTGTTGATTTATACAATAATTATAAGGATCATACAGCAGGAGAAATTTAGTTTAACATTGGTTTACCACTTATTCTGATTTAATGGTGTCTTATGCTTGACAGAAGCAGAAGTGGATAATCAAGCTCGACCTATAACTATGCCAAACACAGGTACAGAATTCCAATTTCTGCTGTAGCTCAATGAAAGGACAGCATACAGGGGGGATACTGAGCAGTGATAAGGGAAATATTAAGCACTGAAAGAACAAAACACAACTTTAAACATTCCTTGATCCCAGAACTGGAGGAAAGAGATAGTCATGCTAAGTAACCTTTCCAGGATGAAAATATAACAGCCATGCTAATCTCAGGGTCATCGGAGAAGAATAAGAGTACTTGTTTTGGCACATTGACCCTGTTAAAGTTGCTGGACAACACAACACTTAGTTGCTTCTAGAATCATAGGAGAAGAGCTCTAACACCCCTCAACTTCTTACTTAGGTTTTGAGATGCCAGTTTATAAGCCTGAACACTATTCATTTGTTTCTTTTTCATGATGTTGGGGCCACATGCTTGAAACTTGCTTTAAAACAGTCTCTGGGGTTAGTTTTGTTTGTTGTCACTAATTTTTTTTATTTAGAACATATTGGGCTTGGTCATTGCACGAGTGACTTTATCCTGGAAATACCCTGTAATTACTAAACATCCTAAAAAAGTTATATGAACTTATATGATTGGTTCTTGAGTACATTATTTGGCAAGATGGCTAGTAGGATGTTGCTGTGTAGAATCTTTCCATTTCTGTTTTTCTATAACAGTTTTGATAAATGCCAGATGTTTCTAAACAAGCACTTACAAATCAAAATTTGCTTATTACCTCCCTTCACCCTTCCCATGGCCCTCCTCACAGTTCAACGTCTCTTTATCCCAAGTTAACCAGTTTTGAATAGTAGAATGATTTTATTGTACTTTAAGATATTAATGATACTTATTACGCTATGTATTCGCTAATGCCATCTTTGCTATTATAATAGTCGTTTAAAATTATATAGTTATTTAAATAGTAATATGGGTATTTTAAAATTATATAGTTATTTAAATTCTATATCTAGATAGCTGGATAATAATGCAACACCTGTTAAAAGTTTAATGACAAAGGTGAAATCAGGTGACAGTAGGAATAACTTCTCAAGGTGAACTGAATAAACAGATAAAGAGACAAAATAACTTTAAATATAGGAATTTTGAACGTAAATGCAAGTAAAAGGTAAGTGCTGCATAGCCAACTGTTAAAAGTCAACAAATGAGTTTCACAATAAAGGCTGTTCAGGAAATATGGAATGTGCTAGATTCTGGTCTTAATTACAGCTGTGTTCTGGACTTTACAAGATAACATGGCAGCAAAAAGGGGGAATGATGTAGTTGTGGGCTGCATACACAAAGGCATCAGGAACAGGAAGGTAATTGTCCCCTCTCTGTGTACAGCTCTGAGGCAACTGTATCTAGACTATTATATTAATTTGTAGGTACCTCATTAACCAACAGATGGTGACAAATTATAGGGTGTGAACCCACAAAAAAAGAAAAATAATTAGTGACAGGAAAGAATGACGTGAGAAGAGATGAGAGAAGAATAAGTATAGCTTTTCTAAATGATGACTATAGGGGGGAATATGATAAGAGTGTACAAATATTGAAGGTTGTAAACACCATAGAAGGAAATGAATTTTTTCGCATAATTAAAAAAGGAGTGTAAATAGGAGAGGTCGATTATAATTAAGAAATGGATATTTTGTTGTTTGGTTCAGATTTTTAGAGCCCTTTCCATGATACTATCTGAGCACCTCTTGTGAGTTAAAAGATGACATTGTTCCCTCTTTCCTGTCATCAAGAATCCAGCTTAAGTGGTGTGCTTTGGTTTGGTTTTTAAATGCGTCTGGCAGAATGAGGGTACTATTTTGTGAAACATTGGGTTAAAAGGCAGGTTTTGCTTTTAACTCTGACTTCAGCAAGATTAGAGATGTTCTTAATGCTTCTGGCAGTGAATCCCACATCCTTGGTTCTCTCTCTCATAGTCATGTGCCTATCCCAGTTGTTTGACAATTTCATTGTTCCAGTGGAATACAGTTGTTATGGGAGGTCATGGTCACAGAAGCAGAGGCAATCACTCTGATATCTAGAACTAACTTCCTTTAGACTGAGTATCAGTTAAATCTTCCAGAGTGTGGGATTCATTGGGCCATATAAGAATGGCTATATTGGGTCAATCAATGGTCCATCTACCCCAGCATCCTGTCTTCCAAAAGTGACCAGTGCCAGACGTTTCAGAGGGAATTAACAGAACAGGGCAATTATTGAGTGATCCATCCCGTGTTGTCAAATTACAGCTTCTGGCAGTTAGAGGTTTAGGGTCACCCAGAGCCTAGGGTTGCATCCCTGACCATCTTGGCTAATAGTCATTGATGGACCCATCCTCCATGAACTTATCTAATTCTTTTTTGAACCCAGTTATACTTTTGACCTTCACAATATCCCCCGGCAATGAATTCCACAGGTTGACTGCATTGTATGAAGAAGTACTTCCTTATGTTTGTTTAAAACCTGCTGCCTATTATTTTCATTGGGTGATCCCGGGTTCTTGTGTCATGTGAAGAGGTAAATAACACTTCTGTATTCATTTTCTCCACACCATTTATAATTTCGTATCTCCCTTTAGTTTGTATCTTTTCTGAGATGAACAGTCCTAGTCCTCATACAGAAACTCATCCATATCCTTAATCATTATTTTGCCTTTCTCTGTATCCTTTCCAATTCTGTTATATCTTTTTTAAAATGGGGCCAATCAGAACTGCACCCAGCATTTAAGTTGTGGGCGTACCATGGATTTATAAAGTGGCATTATGATAGCTATCCTTTTTCTAATAGCTCTTAACATTCTGTTAGAAATCTCCCAGAAGTGGTAGAAAGCACATCAGATGTGACTTTTAGAACTAAACTAGATAAAGCACTAAAAGAACAGGGAACAATCATCTACTGGCAGGAAGAAGGACTGGATGATCTAATTGGTTTCCTATAAATTCTATGACCAAGTTCAGCTGGGAGTTTGGCATTCAGCCAAGAAGATATCAGCATCAAGCAAAGAAGGTGTCCTAACTCAGTTGAGAGCTTAGCCTCAAGCCAAGCAGGCATGCCACAACACATAGTAATAATGGAAGGCTATTATGTGGGAAGAACGTGTAAGCCTCAAGAAATAAGAGTACTAGAATCTCAGGTTCCACCACTCTTGCCTGATGATACCAGGAAGGAAAGGAAGGTGACTGTTCATATTGTTATTTAGACTGATCTAGCATGATCTGAGACTACAAGCTACTGAATATTATAGAGTTATAAGTAAAGAACTGAGCCTACCCTCTGATAAAGCCACTTTGAGCTATTTCAGTGGCACAAAGCAACCTTAAAGAAAGCTGCCATAACCAGTCAACTGCTTTTTTTCATGGCTCTACACCCCCTCTACCAGTCCCTCTGGTATTGGGGGAAGTGTTGGGACAGGAGGCGTAGTAGTCACAATGTGCTGCATTCTAGTTATCCCTGACCAGTGTCATGGCTCCTTGGGGATAGTTGCAAACTGGCATAAATTAGAGCAGCCTTGATCCTGTTCTAATTTATAATAGGGGCTGAACTGACCCCCAGCTGCTTCTGGTGCTGAGGGAGTGCAATGGTTGTGTACTCCTACCTTTGTCCCCTTCTAAGATCCTACACTAACAAGAGTTTAGCTGGACCCAAAGATCAGGAACTAAGTGCTTATTTACAAGATTATATATTTTTAATAGCTGTACTATAGACTATATTTACTTTCTACTTCTGTTTGGATACAGTGGGTATTTTACATACCCTATCCTTCTGAACATTAAAAATAGTAATAGATCAATTTTTAATCCTGATAACTATTAACCAACAGTTATAAGGTTATGAGGAATTATAACTGAGGAAGGATTCATCCTCAAATCTATACAAAGCTAGTCTGTTGATTAAATATAGAGGTATCAAAAAGACAACTCTTTGGCCTAAGTAATTTATTTGGAAAGCCTCTCCAAACTGTGGGTCTTTGGCTTCTATGTAAATCAAGCCTTTGGTGTCCTGAGTTGAGTACCTAAAACTTGAAGCTTAAAAATTAGTGACCACTTTTGAAAATTTGGTCATAATTTGTTCAGAAGCAACTTTGGTCTAAGTCAAGCTTTTCTGATACTAAGCCATCCTGCAGCTGGTTTAGATAGAAAATGAGACTCTACAAATCTTGCTGTCTTCTTTGGTTGTTACTGGAGGCAACATTGATAAAATATTCTGCATTGTAGGAGGTAAAAGAAAGAGTCAGAAAAATATTTTCCTTTTTTTATTTGTTTAACAGATGTCTTTAACATTAATACATCTTTTATGGTTAAGAATTTATTTTTCCAAAAGCATCATCAGTAATGCTCCCCATCCAGCAAAGGTATATAAAACTCAAACACTTTGAAAAAAAAAATCATGCTCAGCTGGATTTATATCCCCATCATCTCCTGTCTTTTTTGATTTCTCTGAAGTGATGAGACTTGGAAGGAACTTTATCATCTGATAACTGGCTTGGACCTTTGACATATCCCCTTTTTCCTTTTGATGTTTTCACTGCTTTAAAACAAGCTGTCAATGAAAACTTGGGCAAAATCTGTTTTACAAATGCCTGTGCTAAATCACATAACACAAGGAAGTTCAAATGGAAGGAGTTATTTAATCCATTAATACCAGCTGTTGGAATTTCCTAAAGCTTGCAGTAAGGGTTGTAATGCTAGTAGGTTAGACGGCATCATGAGTGCTTAAGATTCACAGCCACTAGTATAAATGAAGCAAAGGACGGTGATACAATCATGTTTATCATAACAAGCACATGTAGGAATTTAGACGTGATGCCATCTCCAAGATAGCATCAAAGTTTCATAGTATTGCTTTCCTACTGTTAAAGTCTTTTCTGAACCTGATCTGTGATGTGCTGAGTCATTTCAGCTTGCAGTGAAATTAATGGGAGTCACAGCAGCTGTGCGTTTGCAAGATCAGGGCCCTGAGAGAGAGAGGCATTCTATGACATTACAGACAACTGGTCTGTATACAGCCAAAAAAAGAGAAATTATCATATACTGTTAGTCAAATTAGTATTCTAATATACTATAAAAACATGTTATAAGTGATTATTTACTTAGCTCTCTTTCACAAAGTGTGCACACCCAATGCAGTGGGCACATACATAACCATTAAACTATAAACAATTAGTACCCATGTCTGATTAACTGAAACCCACCCAAAAAAACCTGTAAGATGCTTCCAAACTTAGAACTCTCCTACCATTTCCATTAACAACAGGTTATTTGAGTACTTCAGAATTTGATAACGGGTGTCATGCCAGAAAACTTCAGAAAGAGGGGAGGAATCTATGGCACTTGTATGTTTCTGAACTATTCCATTTTAGAAGAAAGAATACTCAGCCTCCTGGAGTAAATGGATTAAAGTTGTACATCCTGGAATTAAAAAGAAGTGAACATGTTTTTTGGAGAAAGGAGCTTAAAGAGAATGAAAGGAGCTTTGACAATGATCCATAACACTAAGAACAATCCATATCCATTTAATGGCATTACTGGAATCTAAAGGGAAAACGTGCCCAGCTGTAAATATGTATATGTATATATATACATGTATATTTTATATATATATAAAAGAATGGGGCAACACCGGGAATAGTCAGTTTTCATTGGATGAAAGGATTCTATTTCATATTCTACAGTTTTTACAGCCTATGAAATTTCTCATTTGGTTCAGGTCTCGCTCTTTTTTTGCCCTATTTAGTGTAACCTGTGTCCTGAATCCTTTCTTCATGTTTCAGTGGCAACACCAGTGTTGGGTGTGATGCAGATGACTAAGGAACAGAAAGGGACAGATTGCACAAACACAACTTCTCTACTGTGTCATGCACTCACATAGCTACTCCCAAAATACCTCTCCCCCTCTCCCCCATGCCCAGTGATTACCTCTAAACAAAAGGAGAAAAATTTTGCACTCCTGTATGATGGTGAAAACAACAAGGAGTCTGGTGGCACCGTAAAGACTAACAGATTTATTTGGGCATAAGCTTTCGTGAGTTAAAACCTCACTTCTT